AAAAATGTAGCGCGGGAGAGCGCCCCTTTACGTGTCACGATCGATTTTTTTAATCAAACGAAAATTTTAACCTTAAGGTGTGTACACAAGCAACATGAAATAAAACAAACGACTATCACATAAATAAGTTAAGAAACATTATAAAACCCTTTTTAGACTAGAAATTGTTTTCCCTTTTTAGACTAGAAGAGCTGAAAAGTTACTATTTTTTAGTCGACTGGTGAGAGATGAGATCGCAGAAAAGGCGGCGCTGGCGTTCTCTTGAGGCCAAGACCCACTGCATCGCTGAGACACCAGGTTAAGTACTAAGCTTTTTTAGTAATTCTATTCACTCATTTAAGTTATACTAATTTGGACAATAGTTTACCTTTCTCCATCTTCATGGGTTTCGGTAACTCATTGAAAATTAAGCCTTACTATGAGCTTTTATTCCCATTTTTTGACCGACTTCCCTAAGAAGGAGGTATTCAATTCGTCTGTATGTTTTTTTATGTGTGTTATTCGTTACTTATTGACTTAGTCAATTTAATTTGAAGTTTGATCGAAGATGTGTAGTGTAACTAACCCTATCGGTGTTCAAACTGAATATAAATAGTTAATTTCGTTTGTTCATCGGCGAGTTTAGTGCGTTGTCGTGACTCCGTGTCAGTGTATCCGTCTATTGTGATGAGGGAATTACAATAAGAGGTAATTAAGCGGTTTATATTTTAATGTAGATTATAAAATAGGTATCCAGTATTACTACTATGTACTTGACTCTCATATATATATGTATATTTTTTTTACAACATAAGGTGGCAAACGAGCAAGCGGCCACCTGAAATCGCCAAAATGGCGAAGCGACCGCTGCCCATCGACATCCGCAATTGCAGATGTGTTGCCTACCATTATACAACGGAGGACTCGCACATAAAGAGGATATTTCCACTTCCTATGCATCTCCTCCACTGTCAAATCCACTTCCCCTTCCCAACCTCTCCTTATAAGAAAGGGGTGGTAAAGAGCAAGGGACTTAAATTAGGCCTTCGGTACCACACTCATCAAACGAAACATGGAATTGCTTCCATTTCACGCCTGTCTTCTATGTGGTCGTGTACACCGGGCGTGCCGGCCCTGCAGTGCTAAGATGTTTAAGCGGGCACTACCACTGTTAAATTTTAACCCAGCATTTAAGATAGGGCGCACACCTTTGACTGAATATCGCACAACCGTTGTGCGATTGTCGATTGTTTCCAATTCAATTGTTTACTACAACTAAAAATTGAGTGTGCAACTCCATACAAGTTCATAGGAATCAAAGCGAGCCTTAAAAGTTGCGATAGTTTAGTCAAAGTTGTACAAACGCTCTTAGTAACCATTCAATGATATACCGTCTGAAATTTTTAACTTTTTCTAGGACATAAACGATCTCTGATATCCTTAGAACAAATTAAAATTAAATCACAATTAGTTCAGTTGTTTAGATATCTATAGACTAGCCGTTCTCGTTTGATTTCATCCGCATAAAATTATCAATTGTAAGACATGACATGATGACAAACCATGGCAATCTTGTTTTCTTGATGTTGGCAGCTGGTAGATTATGGTCCTTACCCGCAGGAAGGTTTTTCCAATTTATTTATCCCCCAAGTTTAAAAGCTTAAACATATATAACCTAAAGCTTGTCAATAGTGTAGGGCTTTTTATTAATGAAAGAATTATTCAAAAATATGGTCTGATTGCTGATATCCTAAGCTACAAAGTAGTGTGTATTTACGCTTCATTATAATAGTATAGAAGTGTAGATTACAAACATTAATCTTTTACATTGATTTATTATTAAGTACGGTATAGGTATTTAGTGAAATTACCAGCACTCTCGAAGTGGGACGGGCTTGTTATATATTTTATATCGTACATAATGTATTATTAATATAAACGATTGGTCAGACTAAATGATAATATTTAATAACGAACGGATTCTTTTGTCTATATGTTACTCGAGTCGCGCGTGCGATTGTTAAAACATGTCAAAGAATCAATGCTATTTTATTTCAGTTATTAAACATTTTTTTCATAACAGAATATAATACCTAAGCAGTTCTAAATGTACACACTTGCAGTTTATAGGCGTTCCCATTGTGGGTAAGAAAGGGGGGGTCGGCAACACACTAGAGTCTAGAGAATCGAAGAATCTTAAATAGGTATAAGTATTACTTCGAACAAGACCATATTAATTATCTTTACTTATATTATAAAGAGGAAAGATTTGTTTTTTCGTATGTATTGAAATAATTCAAAAACTACTGGGCCGATTTTAAAAATTGTTTCACCATTAAGAAGTTACGTTATCAGTGAGTAAATTTACGCGGGCGAAGACGCGGGCGAACGTTAGTATTCTATAAATAACTCATAAATCGATGATTTTCAAAGAATTTAACTTTTTTTTAAGTCTACTAAAATACTCAGACAACATTTGTTTGGACGTAAGATGGTTACACCCATCAAGTATCCCTCTCCCCCGTATACGGACTTCCGGCACAGGGGAGGAATCGAACCTCATTTCCGGGAGCGACACGGCGGGAACCCTTCGGACATACGACCGCGACCAAGGGAACTAAGGCAGGCAAGGTGATTACGCATTGTCCTTTTTTATATATATCAAATGTGCGTATAATCGTATCTTTCGACCAAATAAATCAAACTAATATTATAAATGCCAAAGCTTAGATGGATGGATGTTTGTTAGAGTTTGTAGCCTAAACGGCTGAACGGATTTCAATAAAATTTGGTATAGGTGTAGAAAATAGTTTGGAAGAACACATAGGGTATACAATTTTGTTTTTTTTTTTAAAAAAATTACACTCGTATGGAGTCCCGGGTGAAAGCTAGTACTAAAATAATTAAATTATCCATCAGCACCGCTTATAATCTAGGAATCTTTCGCGTCTTTATAATCTTACTAATATTATAAATGCGAAAGTTTAGATGGATGAATGAAATTTTTTTAGAGTTTATAGCCTAAACCGCTGAATGGATCTCGATGAAATTTGTCATAGACGTAAAAGAACACATAAGCTACTCATTTTTATTTTTTAATTACGCGGACGGAGTCGCTAGCGAAAGTTAGTATCTAATGATTTAAAAACAGAACGCAAAAAATGTGTTATAATATAATCTGCATTTACGAACAATTGAACACACAAACAAGTCATTCGACTTTTTCCCTGCAATCCGCCACGCTATCGTTAGGGTTGCGCTGATTATCGACAAGTTAACAAAGGTCAGAGTAAACATGCGTATTGCGTAGACACCCCTTGCAACGCGCCCACTACAGGTGGGTTGTGTGGAAAAAAATATCGATTGTACCGTTGTTAACTCAACACCTTTTCGACTGGACGGTTTGATTGTCAATTTTTTTTTAACGTATAAGTTTGTTGTGTAATTAAATGCACTTTCTGGTCGTGAATTCTACATAATGCTGTTTGCAGTCATAAGGTACAAACAACAATATACTAATATTATAAAGAGAAAAGATGTGTATTTTTGTATAACTATATTGAAATAACCCAAAAACTACTGGGCCGATTTTAAAGATTCTTTCACCGTTAGAAAGGTAATTTATCTATAAATATGCTTTATTTATTTGTATTAATATCACGCGAAAGAAGTCGTGGGCAACAGTTATAGTTCTTTAAACTTGTGGTAGTCAAACATTTTTTCCTACAAAAACATTCTTTTTTATAGTAGCGAATTAACTATAATATTATTTTATCATTTGTTACTTTTTGACCGAATTCCCAAAAGACGGAGGTATTCAATTCGTCTGTATGTTTTTTTTTTGTATTTTTTTTATGTGTGTTACGGCATAATTCTATAAAAGCTCAACCAGTATGAAAATTCTCTGTTATTATTACACAAGGACCTTTACGGTGTCATTACACGGTATCAGTGTATACCATCAGGTGACGTGGCCGCGCCAGATAAACACCACACGCACACATACATCTACTGATGGTAAAGCAAGTGGTACACTGAGATTAATCATGAAAAATTATAAACTTGACACTTAAATATGTTGTCTCAATTTTTTTTTGAATAATAATGAGTGGAATGGCAATATAATATGTAAGAGTGTGACAGTGGAAATAGGAATTTAATACTGGAATATCGAGCTTAAGATTACACTGTTTTTGTATGTAACGAATTAAATCAAAAACTAATGAACGGATTTAAAATTTCTTTCACTACTAAAAAGCTACATAATCACTGAGTAACATAGGCTATATTTTTAACTCATCTTTTTATTCTGCGCGAAAGAAATCGAGATCAAAATTTAGTGTTTTGAATTCTTCTCATCTCGCGAGTAACATTTATAATTATTAATCCGCTGTAGATATCAGTTAGGTGTATGATCTTGTATGGTCTCAGTACATCACGAGCACATTTAGGTCACCTGGATATTCACACGTGTCTGGTGTGTTGATGCGGCGCGTCGCCATGACAACCGGCGCGCGCTTCCCAGAAGACGCCGCGTAATTGCGCGACTTCTATCGACTCGTGCCTAGCTTAGCTGACCTCTGTACAATTTGCAAAAGTATTTCAGGCGCTACTTTTTCCTTATAGAAAAACAACGCAAAATACAAGAGACGACGGCTTAACGGATCTCGACGAGAAGCACAGATGTAGAACATAGTTGGACATAACAAATTCCGCGCGGATAGACTCATGGGCAAAATTTAGTAGTTTAGAAACCTATTCAATTTAGAGATTAAAATTAGATTTACTGAGTCACAAACTCGTTAACCTTAGTGATCTTACTAATGTTACAAATGTGAATATTTACATAGATGAACGCTTGTTATAATTTATAGCCTAAACTGCTGAACGAATCCTAATGAAATTTGGTATAGATGCTCCACGTCTGGACGAACACTTTGTTATTACGTTTTATTGTTATTTTTTATTTGTAATTACATGCGAACACAGTCTCGGAAGAAACCTTCATAAATGACAAAACATTGAGTATTTAAATGCATTTAATACTGGATTTACAAAATACTCAAGCCTGCATACTATTTCCAATTATGCTTTGTTCGTATCAAATAGTTTTGTTCTCAAATGCCTACATCAACTCTGGTACTGACACCGGACTCCTTATTCATTTTGATTTCTCGTCTCGGTTCTTCAATCTCTGGGTATTTCTGTGCTTGTGATAATGACGCTTGTACTGTTAGTACTCCGTCTCTTGATAGATTGGAATATATCGCGTCAGGATCCAGACCTTTGGGAAGCTGTACTTCTCTCGCGTACTCTCGATAGATAGTGATGCTCGGAGTTTTCTCAATGTGAGTTGCTTCCACCATTAATATATCGTCCACTATTGTCACTTTCACCTTAAAGACGACAAAATATGGTTATGATAAACTTTCTTGGTTCTGACTTCTTGGTTTGCAAAATTCTATATGGAATGAATAAATTACGAGAGAGAAAATAACTGTGAAAGGCTGCATTCAATTAGATTGAAGTAACTATCTAATATACTTATCGTAGACTTTCACTGTCGGAAAACTTGTATAGAACGTTTACTTCAAAGAGCAAAGACCTTTGGCAGTAGAGACCCACGGTTTCGTATGTTACCTTTTTTATAGTGATAAAAATAATATCCACGAACCTCTGAAGGATCGAATTGGCTAAGGTCGAATTGCAACTTGAGTTTCTTATCTTCACCTTCGCCAACCACCAGAGGACTATTCTTTAACACGTCCCTTTCATTGGAGAGCTGCATCTTAGGGACTTGTGACTGCGACGAGCTTAGGCTACAGTGCGACGATGCCATACTGTAAAGATTCGTCAGGTTTGTGCTGAAAGATAAACAAATATATAACTAGCGGCATGTTAAAAAGTTTGCAAGAAGCCTACATAATGGTATTTACGACAGGTCAATTCCAAATTTATTTATCCTGCAGTAGCTTTGACCTAAGGCCCTGGGCGAGATATCTACACCGTTACTTTTTACCATACTTTGGGGGGGTTGACTTTGGCGCCTCTTTCTGACCAGAGCCCTGGGCGGCCCAACCGCGGTCTAACGCCGGTACTATTCTTGCTGTCAAGCTATTGTATTAAGGGTAGGGTTTAGAAGGTGCCCGTATATCGCTATGCTGTATTACTATAGTATTTACAAGGACGTATGGCTTAATATACTACACTCAGAGACAACAAGGAGTCTTTTAGTGTCTAACACTAAGGGACTGCGTAACCGTTAACATGAATCTGTTTGTGACAGGTTATGTCATAACATGAGACCACCTGTTCTCTCGTAGGTCTTGCTGACTATTATAAGAGGTTGCTTTAGAACATATCCCCGGTATTGGCGATACTGATTGGTCTTTTTTCAACTTTTTTGTATTCTTTTCTTTGTCTATCCTTTCTGATATCAGACGTGCCCATTTTGATCTGTAGGGCGTATTGTTTAGCTATAGATTAATCAGGATTTACCATAAGATTTATCTGATAAATGTTTTACTTTCAATTATGCAATAATATCTCGCAAATGATAGAGTACAACTGTAAGAAATCTCAATCAACGAGCTAACCTCTATAACAAGTCGATATTGATGGTCTCATTAAAGTAGGGGCATTAAATAAGCAATAATGAAGGAAGTGCAAGAAGTGGCAGGTGACTGGAAAGGCCCCAATCACTAAACGAAACCAAAGTCTAGAGATCGCAGTACTGTACCACCGACTTCTACAATTTTTATAACTAATTAATAGACAGACTACCTGAATCTAGTTATTTCCTGATCCATTCTACGCATTTCATTTTCGAAATGCTCTTTCATAGCAAGAAATTCATTATCGAACACTGGTCTGTTAATTTTGGCGACTGGAATTTCTTTTTGATATACATATTCACCCAGTCTGAAATTCGCCATTGTTGGAATTTTGTTATTTAATACCCAGAGCCGATGGTTTCGATGGTATTAGTAAAAGTAAATCAGGATTTTTTCATTTTACGGTGACATTTTACTTCTTTGTGTAATGAAAACGGAGCTGTCATTTTTCCATAACATTAAAACATAGATTAAATAAAATTTTTGCATCTGTTGTTCAAAGATTATTAAAAATTATTATAATTGTATCTAAATGAATGTAGTAAAAATCTCTGACATCGTTTTTAATCCGTCATTTTTATAGTTCAATCAAATTAAATCATATTTCATAATTCAATTGACCTTTGCTATAATTTCTATTAAGTGGCAATGTCGGATGACATAATGTCCCCCTCGAGATGTGGTATTTGAGCGCCCCCTGGCGGACAAACAGATTGACTATCCCACCCTCGGTGCTATGGAGACGAGAGTCTAAACATCGCCCCCTATCTTCCCCCTATTAATCTCGACACAAGGGCGTGTCAAATTAGGAACACGCTGAATCACAATATGATAGATATTTTCTTTTGTTAGTTTTATTGTGCAATAAACACATTTTGTGTAAACAGTTTAAAAGTAAAAATAATTTAATTAGCTGCCTAAAAAATAAAAATAAAACTACTTGCTTGAAGACAAGAGAATTTTGATCAAGTTGTAAATAAATTATAAAATCCTATGATCATAATAAGGCGCGAAACGTCACCAAATTGGCGGGAAAGTTGTACAAATGACAGATAATTAATCATTCCGTTCGAAAATTAGATTGGCAAGTGGCAACCATAACGGTTAACGCCAGGTGGACAGGAAGTAAACACGTTATGAGATTCATTGATTTTTCATATCTATCAGATTTTTAAAAACATTTTGGTTTTATTTTCCCGCCACAATAAACTTATTTAGGCTATTAATTATGAATTTCTAAAAAGTAAATAGACTTGAAGAAATACATTTTTACATTCATTTTTATATAATACTGTCATATTCTTGTCTAGTTCGAGTACTTTTTAGTACAATAATATTAGAAACAAAATATAAAATAAGTTGCAAATACAGTAACTATGATGTAGGGGTGTCGACCACGCCAAAATTAATTTACTTATCTCGATGTAATCTCATAAAAATAGGGTTTCATTTTTATAATATACCTTTTATTACTCGTTTATACAAACGGTACTTCGATAGTCAATTACGCAATTTGAACTCTAAGTTATAGTCAATAAAGTCTAGTTTGGGATTATTAAGGTTCACAAACGTGGAACGGGGGGTAATATTTTTAATTCCCGTAAAACGCAACGCCATATCTCGAGGGAGAGTTGGCAAACATCATTACGAGTTGTGGGTTGAAAATACGACATAGTTTTATTTTAGGTAAAAAAAATATTATAAAGAATATGTCAAATTGTAAAAATAGCATGTATTTATGCAATTCAAAAATGGCTTGAAACTAAAACGCTTTATTCTTTTACTAGCTTTCGCCCGCGACTCCGTCCGCGAGATATTAAAAAAAAAGTGAGTCTTTGTGTTCTTCCAGACTACCCCTACGTCTATGCTAAATTTCATCCAGTTCCGTTCAACCGTTTAGGCTACAAACTCTAATAAACATCCATCCATCTAAATTTTTGCATTTATAATATTAGTAAAGTAATCTTACTTCTTACTTCTCATCTTACTTCTTACTAATATCATAAATGTGAAACTTTAGATGGATGGATGGATAGATGGATGGATCGATGGATGTTTCTTATAGTTTGTAGCCTAAACGGCTGAACGGATTTCGATGAAATTTGGCATACATGCAGAGGATAGTCTGGAAGAACACATAGGCAATTCACTTTTGTTTGTTTCAATAAAGTAAGATTATTTTTATTTTTAGAAGCTTATATCATTGAAAATTATTTAATTTATGGCGTACAATGTTTTATCGCTAAATGTTTAACGTATGCATTATTACACTGCGTGTAATAAAGTTAAATCCCTGTCTAGACTTTTAATTTATTAGATAACAAGTTTTCGTTTGCGACTCCGTTCGCATGGAAATAGAAACCAAAAGTATAAGCAATAAAGCCTATGTGTTCTAGACTATGCTCTTTATCTATGCAAAATTTATAGATCCGTTCAGCAGTTTGAGTGGCAAACTCTCAAACATCCAACCATCTAAACTTTCGCATTTATAATGTTAGTAACAAATAAGATAATATGAAACTATAAACATTAACAAGGGCCTTTCCTTCTATTTTCTAAGTAGGAAAGACCATAATTTAATTATCTATTGAAGTTTACAGTAAGAACTGAGGGTAATGAATAATGAACTAAGGGCTTAAAGTAACTATTTAAGTGTAATTTAAAATGTGTTTAAGCGCATTTAAGGCGTTAAAGTAAGTAATCTTTTGGAATAATGTGTAAAGGTGTACAGATCCCTTAATTAGATCTGATTAAAGTGCAATATCACGGCATCCTCCACCCTAACAATTTGCTCTGCAGTGCGGTCTGCCCTAACAATCAGCAAATTGGCCGACGTAAGTACAAACACCGAATGGCGCCACGCCGGGGTTGGATGACCCCTACTATTGCAAATTATGGTAGAATATTTTTTTTCTGATGTTTTTTCGTTTGTTGTTGCTTAACTTATAACCTAAATAAGTTAGGTTAATTTTAAAACGAATAGAAAGTCTATATATTCGGTATTTATGTAGTGTTGATAAGAGTTTTTTCTCTGTAAATTGAATTTTACACTAATAAAATTCTTATTTATCAAGTTAACATTAACAATATCCAAATACAAATCAAACGTAAGTACTTGATTAGTATGGATAGAGGTGAAGGATCATTTATAACTTTACTATCCCGATACTTCACGATCTCGATTGTCACTCGATCGTAAAACGCGCGGCGAATGCGTGAACCGTGGTAATGGTATATTTTGTAAGCGGACTGTAACGAAACACGCAAGCACCGTGAGATAGCAATCACATCCCACCGGGATGGAGTTGATGGAGGAAATTAAACGAAAAACGTTCCAAATGACTCCCCTTTTAAATAAATTAATGAATCGACTATGTATCTAATTGTTCATATTCCATATGAAATCTATACCTTTTATGGCCAGTTTGCGAGATACGTTTAACCATTCGTTAGTGTTTTTGGTTCGATAAATTATTGAATTGCGTTTCCGAACTTCGTAACTTGAGTATTATTCTTTTGTAATTTAGTTTAACCTAATACTAATAAATCACTAGCTAATGATAAAATAAATGGAAACTTCAGAGACTACGTGTGTCGTATTTGCTTATTTGTGTCAAGTCAAATGGTTACTATAAGAGTCGTGAAAAACAAACTTTTCTTTATAAAAGACTAGGTGTTGCTTGCAACTACGTGCGCGTGAAATAAGGAAAATAAAAAAATATAGCCTATGTTACTAACAACGTAGTTTTTTAACGGTGAAATGTATTTTTGAAATGGATTGAGTTTTTGAGTTAATTAAATACATACATAAATACAATCCTTCCTCTTTATAATATTCGTAAAGATAAAATAATAAATAGAAAGGAGAGAAAAAGTCAAGGAAGGATACGAAAAGATATATACACTGTCAGAAGACTTACTAAGTTACTATTTACTTGAAGGCTGATTTATAATTCTAGTTAATTAATATAATTGTACATTAATCTATTAAAATGTAGAAAATCTTTCATAAGCCATCAATTACCTCTTCAAAGAGATAAATATCTAAAAAAACGTTCATTACTCTCACGATACAATTTATCAAGTTCCCCCAAAGGTGTGGTGTAAACATAGAACTCATTAACTAGATGGTGCCCTCTCGCCTGCGCACGCGCCTTTAAACGTATTTAATCAGGATCAATGATGCGAATGGACTTTTCAAACGTCTAATGTGAATTGATGTGTTGATTGGTTATTTGGGGTTCATGTTTAAAAAGAAGTATACCTAATGTACAATTGATTGAACTTAACTTGGTTGAGCTCGCTTTAACATCTTCGCACGAATGGGTCGGCTCGCCTGGTGCAGTACCACATAGACGACAGACGTGAAGTGGTAGCAATTCCGTGTTTCATTGATGAGTGTGGTGCCGGAGGCCTAATTTTAGTCCCTTTTCCTCTCCATGCTTCTCTCAAGAGGAAAGGACGCGAAGGAAACGTGGATTTGACAGCAGCGGAGACGCACAGGCAGGAGAAACATTTTATGTGCGTCTCTTCATCTGTCGATTAAGAGCATCGCATCTGCAATCGCGGATGTCTATGGGTAGCGGTCGCTTAGCTATTTCGGCGGATTCAGGTGGCCGCTTGCTCGTTGCCAACTTATGTTATAAAAAAAAAACGAATTCGAAATGGCCAGCTTAGTCTGATCAAATTCAAGATGTTAGTGCATAAAGAAAAAGTTACAAAGGATAGTTAAAAAGCTACAAAGTCCTGATCCAGGTCATGATCATTAAAATACGTGACGGTATAATAAGCCGGAACATTTCTTGAAGCCTGACTTAGTCGTGATCCTACCAGGAGTGCATCACGCGCGGGCGCAGACAATGAGCTCGTGATCGGTGCTGTACCGGCGATCGATCGCCGACGCACACGTGTGATATGAATTCAAGATGTTTGATGATTCTGTGACCCTAGTACCTGCCACGGGAACAATAGAACATCGTATAGCTGTATTCTATTATATTGTTTGTTTTGAAATTATAATGTCACTAGCTTTCGTCCGCGACTCCGTTCGCGTGGAATTAATAAAAACAAAAGTAGCCTATCTGCTCTTCCAGACTATCCTCTACTATCCATACCAAGTTTCATCGAAATTCGATAAGATGTTTAGGCTATAAACTCTAACAAACATCCATCTAAACTTTCATATGTATAATATAAGTATTATGTATTGCCCGTGTGTGCAGTTTATATTTAATTTTGTAAACTTGAGAGCACATATAAGATGATTAGCTGGTTAATTTTACATAAACTATCATTAAGTAGCGTGAAAGTGAAACTAACATCGTATCTTAGCACGTTAGCGAGTAATGCACAATTAAACGGTTTGCCTACAATTAACCTGTTAAACTAGGTTTTAGGTGAGCCAATATTTTGTGTTCCAAATGAAACTGTT